GGCCGGCCCAGGTTTTCCTTTTTTTAAATATACATAAGCCTAATTGATCCCCATATGATGCCTGTAAAAGAAGCCAAGGCTTCTTTTACCTTCTTTTGTCCTTGGCTGCTAATGTGGGGTGAGTCACTAGTAGTTTCTATTTTTAATTAATGTCAAAACCAGTGAACGCTCAGTGATGGGAGGCAAACGGACTACTTAGGATTTGTCCTTTTTGTCCTGATCTTCAGACTCTTGACCATCCCCTGCCCCTCACTATTTTTATTTCTATTTGTTTCTCTTTTTATTAATTAGATACTACTAGTGACTCACCCCACATTAGCAGCCTCTTAGGAGAATGGAAGCACCCAGGGTTCTGAGTGGCAGGCAGGGTGTGTTCATTCCTTACAGAGCTCTCAGGCGCTCCCATGTGCTTCATCCAGCACATTGGCTGGTCAGTGGTCTGAGGTTTTCTCTAAGAGCATCTAAAGTGTTACTTGGCCACCAGATATCATGGATACTACACACAGGCATTTCACAAGTGGGAAGACTGCAATTCTGGTATTTCTTACAGATTTTATGTAATATACTAGCAGCATTATTGCAGTAATAAAATTTTAAAACAAAACTAGAAAACATTGGCCTACAAATCAACTTTTTAAAAATTTTCTTCACTTTTTATCCATATGTGGATTTTTTTTATACAGCTATTAAAATGTAGAAACACTTTGGAATCCAAATTATTTTCATTTTTTAAACCATGTAATGTAAATATTTCCTGACACTGCTATAAAGGTCTAATTGATATTACTTTTAGTGGCAGCTTAGTATTCCTTCAGTTAACCATTCAGTAATTGTTGAAGAACACACAGCCTGTTTCCACATTTCTAATGTATTTTAACATAAGTATCTTGACAAGTATTTTAGCAGTACGTTAAACTTTGCACATGCAATTTCTCTTTCTTTTTGAATTATTTCTTTGAGTTCTGAAGTGCAGAATATCCGCCAGAAGTTAAAGAGTATTTATAGCCCTCAATTGGCAGGGTCAAAGGGCCATCCTAATTAATGTTTAATGATTATATTGCAGTTACCACCATCTTGAATGACCCCAACCCCATCTGGCTGGTGGGCAGGGCTGCTGAAGCTCCATTTGTGATTAATGCTGTCATCCGATACCCTGTGGAAGTCATTTCATATCCTTTCTGTTAGAGAGCCAATGGTAGTTCAGTTTCCGAAAAGAAAAAAAGGATTCCTCAGTGGTCCCAAGTAGGAACAGATGTGGGAAGCCGTAGACTGGAAATTGCTACAGC